TAAAAAAATTATAAAAGTTAATAATAGAATACGCAATAAGTGATCGTGATACAACATAACACACACTCACCCGGACAATCGACAATCAGGTGCCCTGTTTTACGACACCTGTAGCACCCTGAAACACAAATTAGGCGATACACCTTTTAGTATTAGTTACTCTAAAATTTGTATTTTGTATACATCTACTTACTTCTTTTATCTTTTTGTTTTTGTAAACGCTTCCGGACCCTGCCGGAAGCGTTCCCCATCCCGCCGTGCTCGCGGCGGTGGTATACAGGCGCATTATACACCTGTATACCACTCGCGCTATAATTGTTAATTTGTTTGGTTACTTTCATTCTAAAAATAAACAATGACACCAATTAATATTAAAATTAGTCATTTTTGCTGACACTATGCCACTGTTGTGCCGTGACGGGTTGGCCATGTACAACTAATTATCAAAATGTCACGAGGCGGTTTTCGAACATTAGTAATGAGTTAACGAATACAATTTTGCAAAAAAAACAAAATCAGACACGTGGCCAACAGTAATCAATAATCATAGAGTATTAGCATTGATTATCGATAGTGTGCTGTTAGTTCTACAGTAAATAAATTAATTTATCATTGGACTTAATACTAAGGAGATTATCTATGTTCTCTCAATCGACTTTTTACGATATTTAAATTTTTAAGCGAGTTATGACAGTTGTGTCAAATAGGATAAGACAATGATGCACAGATAATAGCTAATAGGTCAATTCACTCAATCACAACAAACAGCACACTATTTACAGTGGTAAAATAAAAATGCATTAAAAGGTAGTTTGAACATAAATCATATTTCACCCGCAGAAATAAAACATAATAATATAATGAAAATATATATATATATAGGTAATTATAAAAAAGTTACGGGAAGGTTAGTGAATATTGGTAGTGAATTAACCAACACAATTATACACAAATTAGACATGTGCCAAAAACAAAATCAGAACACATGACGTACAGTAATCATAGAATATTAGGTATAGTTAATTCAACAAAAGCTTGAGTTTTCAAACACATAATATCCTACAGACGTGCTGCGATCCAGTTAAGAAGATACCCGCATAATATTATGTTGTCTCCGTCTTACACATGTGCGATATAGTTAATTTTCGTTCGACGGTTTCAATAGTGAGCTATATATTAGTTTTACGGTGAACTCAACTATTAGTATTATTAATTGAAAATTGAAAACTAATATAAGAAGATAATCTGTGTCCTCTCGATCGATTTTTTACGACATTTTAATTTTTAAACGAACTATGTGTATGTGTAATGCAAAATATAAAATAATAATAATGCACAGATATAATTTCCTAAAATATTTATAAAAATTATAAAAACCAATTACAAACAGCGCACTATTTAATCTGGTCAACTAAAATTTACTACGGAATACGATTTACATTCATTCAAATGCACACGTGCCCATAGTCATACATTCAGACCTCATAAACAATTAAACGAAATTGTATTGTATAAAGAGGTGTTTAAATATTGATCGAGATACAATTAAATATATTCTATAAGTATTAAAAAGTGTTTGAGCATAAATAATTTTACTCTACCAAGTTAAACTAACATGAAAAAAAAAACACCGGGACACAAGGCCAGTATAAGAAGGTACCTACAATAAGGAATTAAATACGTTTACTTACTCGAACGGCGTCCAAATGTCAAATGAAATATGTCCGGCGTTCGTCACCGATCATACATCCTGTCCGCAAAAAATGGATTTCCCATCACTCCATTAAATTAGACGGGACATCGGTCGTATCGACAATTACACGATAACGCGAAAGCTTCGTGTGAGATAGATCGATAGTGACTACAGGTAGACAAACAGAGACCGTCACGATACACGCGCCTTAGATATTATCATTATTGGTCATTACACACCGTTCGACCGAATTATACGTTTTTACGCTGACATAATTTTTCCCTTCAGAAATTATTATGTTAACAATATCATACCTATGAATACACGAATAGACATACTAATTTTTTAACGTATACGGAAGGTATAACCGCGTATGATCCATATTATATTTTTTGACGATGGCTGTAACATTTAAACTATTACTGTGACATTTAAACTAAAGTACCTATCTGCAATACATACCTGATATACCGTTGAAAATTGTACGCGATCGACGACCTCGGAGTACCTACCTGGGCGACTTCGATGAACGTACATCGAATATTACATGAGGCATCCACTTGCTAGACACTCTAACACGATTTTAAACTTGACATTTTGCTCCACAAACAAAAAAGGCACCGGACATGCAACGGAAAACAGCACTGACACAGAAAGTTCAAAAATTTAAACATTCCCGCCAAACCACCAAGCGCTATCACTAATCATTATCAGCCATACATAAACATAGATATTAAAGAATGGATAGGCCATTTGTCGTTATCACATACTCGACTACATCATTAACATTCTACTACGACCACAGTTAGTTGTAGAACTACGACAAAGTCGGATTGTTTATCATTCATATAGGTAGATGGTAGTCGAGTTTCACTTATAGGCTATAGCCGTTTAATGTATGTTATACTTGCCCACCTGATTTTCTGTTGTACAAATAGGTGGACAACTTCAAAGTTAATCGATTTTCACTTCAGAAATCAGGTTACTGACTTGCTAGACACTCCTACACGGTTTTCGGCTTTACATTTTTTACATTTAAACATATTTACACATAGTAGCTACGGAAAAGCACCGGGACATATACGTTGGGGAATCGTATCATTGTATTGCTGACTTTCATGGATCATGGGAGATTTCTAGACATTAAAACTCGACTTTTAAACTTTCCCGCCTTCGAAACGCGACCGCCAAAGAGCCAGAGAGTCTTATCACAAATTCCCAACACCAAATCACCTTCGACCACAGATATATACAATAACTAGATAGCTAACTGATTATATCTGACGCACTATGATTAAGAAGCCGAACGCCATATGCGTGGTAGTCAATGTTTTTGTTTGTTATCACTTTATCAATTCGAATTTATCATCATATTATTGTACAGATATTATATCAATAATTTATTGCATACATCTTTGTATTATGTACAGTCAATTATTGCTAATATAATTTTCATTTTTCATAAAAAAAATTGTTTTATGTGATTTTTAAGTACTTAATTAAATATGCCGCAGAACATTTCTTTTTGCTTCTAACTGATAACTTGAAAAACATAAATATACCAAATTTAGAAAATAAAATAATTGCACTTGTCAATAATAAATTTGTGCTTGATCGTAATATATTTAAGACACTTAATTGTGAAAATGTATTATATTGGTCGAGTACCCACTTATAGTTTTTACCTGGTTATACTTGTTTAATCTCTTTTCCGTGGTTCATACATTTATATAATATTATATATTATATAGTTATATATTTGTTATACTACTTATACTTATACGTACTTAACAATTTTATTTTATATTTAAATAAATTACTTATTAATTATTATTAGTAATAAGTAATAACAATTTAATTTAATATATTGTATTTCATAGTGATAAGAAATGATAACAATAATTAATGTAAACATTGACTACCACGCATATGGCGGTTGACTTCCGACTGTTACGATAGTTAGCTATCTAGTTATTGTATATATCTGTGCCTTCGACTACCAACCTATCACCTTCATTATAATTCGACTGTGTCTCCAAAATAAGGTACTCAATTACAAGTAACACTGGGGGGTCCGGGGGTCAGGCCGGATCAAAAAACCCAGCCCGAGGCGAAACGACAAAGATGTATCACCGCCCACACAGTCTTTCCGCCATAGGCGGGATGACAAACGCCAGAATCTAGTATAATATAATATCCATAGATAAAGAAGTAATATGATAATTGATAATATCCTCGTGCCACTGAGAGAGCACCACGGACTAAGATAGAATGGACTGATATCGAATGTCTTATCAGTGTGACGCAAATGTTTCTCTAGACAAGGTACCAGAGTACACTACATTCAGCTCCATCTATGGAGAAATAATCGTAAACATTTTATAAAAATGCATTGGAGGGAACCACTATTTACTTTTCTATCGTATATTATTATCACTAGATAGCGTCGAACATAGTGTACTTGTGATAGATGTGCAGTGTAGCGGGGCAGAAACATTTGGGGATCAGACCCCACCACCTCGCCGTCCCTACCGTTACCAGTCCATTCTATCTTAGTCCGTGGAGAGCACTACTGGGCGGCGCGCGGCGACCAAAATTCGTCCAATCTCGCGCATTCCCACCACTAAACCTGCCCGTACGCTGGCCGTCGTCGACTAGGTGGTAGAGTGGGAGAAATATGGGTATGAAAACGCGGAGCTAGGTCATATTTGGATGCGCCTGCAACGAGTAGCGCTCTCTGCAGTGATATACCTACATACCTATATATAAAGGGTTTTTCAATAAGGACGCTCGATGTTTCATAGTGAAAAAAACAAGTTGTATGTGAAATATATACCTAATTTTTATTTTATTTTAAAGAACGTTATATGGCAATTATTTATGGAATATAACATCGTTCAAATGTCCGCCTCGGCTTTGCTTGGTGGCACGTATTCGGGTGGTCCAATTTTCTGTTACTTTGTTGCATAAATCTGGTTGAATTTGCTTGATGGTGTTGATTATGTTGACTTTGAGGGCATCAATTGTTTGTGGTTTATTTGCATAGACCTGCGATTTAAGATAGCCCCAAAGAAAAAAGTCTAATGGCGTTAAATCGCACGATCTCGGGGGCCAGTTTATGTCACCATTGCGTGATATCACCATGCCCTCAAATCGTTCACGCAGAATGTCCATCGTTGCACGCGCTGTGTGACACGTAGCACCATCCTGCTGGAACCACATGTCCTCAGTATCCATATCATCGAGCTTAGGCCAAAAAAAGTTGTTGATCATTGATCTGTAGCGCTCACCGTTGACGGTTATGGCAATGCCTGTTTCGTTTTGGAAGAAGTACGGACCAATGATTCCGCCAGACCAAAATCCGCACCAAACAGTGACCTTTTCGGGATGCATTTTGTTTTGGTGTGTCTTGTGTGGATTGGTATCATCCCAAATCCGACAATTTTGTTTGTTAACGTATCCATTCATCCAAAAATGGGCCTCGTCGCTAAAGATTATTTTTTTAGCGAAGTTTGGATCAACTGCTAACTGCCCCAGAACCCAATCAGCGAATACACGACGTTGTGTATGGTCATTTACCTTGAGTGCTTGTGTTAGTTGGATTTTATACGGGTGCAGACCCAAGTCTCGACGCAAAATTCGCCAAGTTGAAGTCACAGAAAGACCAAGTTCTTGTGAACGACGAGGAATTGACTGTCTTGGGTTTTGTACATTCACAGTAATATTTTAAAAAAGTAATAATTTATTTTAGAGAACTTAATACTCGCATATGTGTTGTCTCTTAAGTGCTTGTGTAACATAGTTAACAAATGCGAATATACAATAGTCAATAACATTACCTATAATTTCCTTTTACCAGTATTTATATTTTGTATCTTAATTTTATTCTTCTTTAGTTATTTACTATTTAATAAAATGTACATCAGGAAAAGTAATAATATAATAAGTGTAAATATGAAATTGTTATACCTACCTATCGTAAGCAAAATAATTTCGAGAATAAATGCGTATTTATGTTAATATAAAGTGCCTGGAATGTTATATCATTTACCCAAAGCAACTTTATACAACACGTGCCTTCAATATGGTGTCAAACACAAGATATGGTTACTAAATGTTGGTTTCCATACACTAAATTGGAGTTCCCTCAATCCAAAGTTCACTTCAGCAATAAACGTATTATGAAAATGATCACAGAGTCGTACGAGCCTAACGATGTTGATGGAGCTTGGTTTGAAGTCAAGATATTAGCTGGACCATTAGGTATATAATGTAGACAATAAGAACCAATAACTTAACTTAGAATAAAAATATAATATAACCTATAAAATTACATTTAGATAAAGAAATATTAGCAAGAAATGTTTCAAAAACATTGTCATCTCAATCTGAATAAGACAATAGTGACCAGTCAGCTAATGATGAAAGTGATGATAGTTATACTAAAACAAAAAAGGCTGGCAGGCGAAGAAAACCAAAAAAACTTTTTTCTCCCGAACAGGGTCAAAAACGCCGTAAAGTGATTGAGTCATCAAGCATACCACCAATACCTGTTCCTCCTATAATACCAATCAATTCATCTGGTAATTATTTTAGATATTAATGCTTTCTTTTACTAATAAAGTTCCTTAATTAAGTAAATAATGTATTATTCTAGTTTTTATTGAGTTATCTAGCAACAATGATGATGTCGATAAACGTTCTTACGTTAACAATATACAATGCGAAGGAAGAGGAAAGATATATAAGGAGCATGTGAGTTATTCATACAATATTCTATTAAATATTACTGTAATATATTACTATATATTTCATTTCTAAAACTAACGTGACTAATGTGTAGAAAATTAGTTGTAATATTTCAAAGTTTTTTTTTACTTACATAATATGTATGTAATATTTTATGGATCAATCAATACATAATATATTAATATGTGGCCCCACCAACAAATTTTAGCAACTTTTTAAAATATATATATTGTTATTTTATTCCTGGTATTTTGTTAGGGTTCCTTTAAAAAAAATCAATTATAACTACTAGGTATTTATTAAATTTCAGAATAATGGATATGATAATAACAGTGATGATGATTTATTATCAGAAACTATAAATTCTTTTTAGATTCTGAGCGGAGCGATGAATGTATTGGTTTTACAATGATGTGTGTTTTTTTTTATATTTTTATTTGTGTCTGTCATCACGTTTTAGGACAGTAAAAGTGCTTGGATTTTCTTCATCAGTAGCTTTTCTGATAGGAAAGTGAATCTAGTTGGTACTTTGGGGGGTCAAAAGTATAAATTTCCCAGTAGTTTTCACAAGCGCCGGGAAAAACAACATAAAAATTAAGGAAAAACGGGAATTTTTACGCAAAATTGGTTTTCCAAAAAATCGATTTTGGTTATTGGCAGGGGCGTCATTTGGGGGATTCAGACTATACATTGGCAGCCTTATTTTTTTAAATGTTTGGTTGGCCCGTATAAAATGTTATAATTGCGCCGTCGATAAAATGTAAGATGCAAACGCGCTGTAATGGTGCGAGTTTTTCATAAGAACCTATTGTCCTATTGAAATTGCCAAGTTGATAATACTTTAAATTATATATATATTTCTTTTATTTATTTAATAATTAGGTAGTTCGCAAATTTTTAAATATTTATATATTTTGTAATAACTAGTCTATAAGCTTTGAATGTATGGCTTTAATTTTACGCTTGTTAACAATTTCAGATTTGTACAACAATTAGAAACTCGCTTTTCTCAGAAAAACCAAGAATTATTTAAGATATTTCAGATTTTCGACTATACAAGCTTATATTATTTCAATCCAAAGTGTCCATCTTTAGAGTTCTTCATAGATCATTATAAATATTTTGAAATTAATAAAATAAAAGTCAAATCAGAATTTTCATCTGCTAAAGCTTTGCTTGAACATAAACATATTTTAAGACCGGACTTAGAAATGATTGTAGATGTTCTCATTGAACTTCCTAGTTCATTTTCAGAAACTTTAAAACTAATGCATATCATTAAAACTCTTCCAATATCTACAGCATCTAATGAACGCTTTTTTTCTTCTATGAAAAATGTAAAATCTTATATACGTACTTCTATGGGTGACGAGCGACTCAGTGATCTCATGATAATAAACGTTGAAAAGGACGAGGCCAATAAAATAGATTTAAATAAAGCTGTGGATGATTTTGGGAAAATGAAGAATAGGAGATATCCACTTTTTTAATAACTTTTAGTACTTTTACTGTTATACCTATTTACTTAGTTAAAGTACATAATTAGTTTTTGTATTTCTTTTTATGTTATTGTTTAATACAAATATTATTAAATATATCTTTTTTTATTTATATGAAATTGGTTAAATATGTTTGAAAAAAAGTATTAATGAGTATTTGAATATTAAAATGTGGGGATATGAGTGAGCGAAGCGATCGGAAATTTTTTTAAGTTCCGCTAAATAAACAGGATATATAAATGGCCTGGTGGAGGGAACAATTGGCCTGATTCAAATGTTTGCATCCCTGTTGAAAAGTTGAAATGACGCCCCTGGTTATTGGTGTAATTCTAAAACAAATGAACGTATATACATGAAATTTTCACTGGTTGTGTATATTTGCATTTTCTATACACGATAACATTTTCAAAATATTTTGATTTATTTTGAACTGTTTAGGGACATTTTAATTTTCCATTTTTTTTTTAGTTTTTTTTCTAAAAATATCAATAAAATTTTATTTGTTGGTTGCGAAAGCTTGAAAATTTAATAGAAGGCTCCTAATATATTGTTTCAAAGGCAGATGAAAAATATTAAAAATCCTTAGTCACAATTTTTTTTTATAAGCATTTAAAGTTCAAAAATTGACAAAATATGGAAAAATCACGAAAATTAGCAAATTATTTTGAGTTAAGAATTCGTAAAAATTTTTCTTTTTAAATCTAAGATTTGAAAATGAAACACAAGATTCCTTATAAGATTATCTACCTTTATCAATAAAAAAAATCTCTACCGGACAGTCAAATTAAATTTTTATGAGCGTTTGAAATTCAAATTTTTACAATATTGGATTTTCACTCGATTACTCATGTAGCGATTTCCTTATTTTGTTGCAATTCAAAAATGAACAACTGTAGGTACATGAAAATTTCACTGAATGTTTAAATTAGCATTTTCTATACACCATACAATTTTGAATATATTTTGACTCTTTTTGAGCTGTTTATGGACATTTACAGCTTTCAATTTTTATATGTTGGGCCAAAAAGTGTAAAAATTTAATACAAGGCTCCTGATATATTGTTACAATAGCAGTTGAAAAATATTAAAAATACATAGGCACAGTTTTTTTTTATAAGCATTTAAAGATCAAATTTTGACAAAATTTATCAAAATCTCGAAAATTATCAATCATTGTAATTAATAAATTATAAAATGTTCCGTTTTTATAGCTAAGGATTACAAATTCAACACAAAGGTTCTCATAAATAGTTCATACTATAACCAAAAAATCAAAAAAATATATGAACAGAGTTATTTTTTACAGACATTTTAAATTCAAATTTGGACGAAATTACATAATAAAAAACCTAGAATAACTATTTTAGTTATTTTGTTGTGATTGAATAATATTATTCGTGGGTACTTGAAACTTCTAAAGTGTACTATTATATATCTATGATAGTATCACGGTTTTTGTTGATGTACACCGCGTTATAAGTATCTAATGGATATTGTGATATGATTAATTTGGAATTTATTATAGGTAGGTACCTATTATAGGTCAATTTTTCGTTTAATACCATAGATATGTATATAATATGTCTTATACATAGACTGACATACCGTCACCGCTCAGAATCGTTTTTCTTATACAATGATATTATATCATTGAATTCAAGTTTAATACCATCCATTATACAGTGACTCACTTGTAACCTACTGTACAGCAGAGCGACACCCACTTGCCCACCTTTTTTGAATAATGTTTCGGCTAATGATTTTGTACTGGAAGATGATAATGTAACGTGCCAACTACTTCAACTCAATATTGATGGTATTTTGAATTAAAATGACAAGTTGTTGGTATAATGATAGTTTATTTGTATTTAATTAACACGAAAAATATTCTAAGTTCAAATAATTAAATTATAAAATAGTGGTAAACGGGTTGTGACTTAGTATTGACTTTGTGGCTGTTCTGCTAGTGCTCGTCGTCTTGGCTGGTGTTCGTCTGATGGACACTTGTCCATCGACGTATTTCGTCGGTTTTCCTATTATATCCCTCCTATAGCATTTTTAGTATATAAAATGGTACATAGCTGCGTATACCTGACGTCATTTCGGGCGTCCTCTACGAAATAATGTTAATTGGGATTATATGTTTCAAAGTTATCTATTTTGTTGTTTACGGCTTTTTTGTGTTTCCCAGAATATGGATAATGCGCGCGTTCTATACTCTTATCGATATGGCCGCCCGGACGTTTATATTATTACTATTATTGGGTTACGTGCCCTCTGCCGCATTTATATCTGTTATTGAAAATAATATATTATACTACAAGCGTATTATACTTAATACAGCATAATATAATATAACATTTTATATATTATTACTATTATAATATGTACGTAGTCACAGCCCGTTACACCTCCCTGCCCTTTCAAAGGTTTTTGTAGGGCTACAATTTGTAGAACTACAAAAATCTTTAAAATAATTTTA